GCCAGACTCCAAAACCGAACAGAAAATATAGATTTCCACTATGGATATCCACGTATATTCAACTTCTAGATTTTCCTTTAATTTATCTTGGGTTGGATTTTGTTCGCCGACTCAAAGTCGAGACATGTTATAACACATGTGACCAACAAAAATAATAATATGTATGCGACATCTGACTTTGAGATTTAACTTAATACAAGCTAGTGAAAAATTTAAATATTTGGGTTTAAATAACAAACACACTCAATTTGTCTAGCCGCTTGACTATTGATGAGTCGTTGTTTCCATAGCTTCTTATAAATGAATCAACAATCCATATGAGAATGGGTACCGACAAAGTGACGATTAAGATCGGCCATACCATATGTAGATCTTGCCATAAATATTTTGCAATTTCAACATATTATTTAACTCTCACTTCCTTTTTTTAGATAATGTTAAGAGTTATAAGTAATTAGGGATTTTTTTGGACAGGGAAAAAAATGGTCACACATCCACAAGGTACAAGTTAGGTCAGATTCTCATACATGCCGTGATTGATTGTTCATGTCACATTATAGTTGCATAGTTGGTCCGCTGAAATGACATCTCATAATTTTTTCCACAGAAAGGCCAAAATTGAGAAACTCGCAAAAAGACTTTTGCCCATCTTTAAGGCTGTGTTCGTTTGCGGAAAAATATTTTTCCGAAAAATATTTTCCGCGTTTTCCGGTGTTCGGGGGCGGAAAATGTTTTCCGTGGGAAAACATTTTCCTTCCCCACCCCCAAATCCTTCATTGTTTTGAGGAAAATGATTTCCTCTTTTCACAAAGAGGAAATCATTTTCCCCAAAACAAGGCAAAATTGCCCATGGGAGGGAAAATGTTTTCCGCGGGAGAGGAAGTTGATCACCAGTCACCACTGGCTGCCGTCGCCGGTCGCCGCCGCCGCCGCCGCCGGTCGCCGATCGCCGACCGCCGCCGCCCGGCCACCGATCGCCGGCCGCCGCCGGTCGCTCGCCGCCGGTCGCCGGCGAAAAATATTTTCCGAAACATTTTCATATTGATCGCCGAACACCGGAAAATTATGTTTCGGGAAAACATTTTCCAGGAAAATGACTTCCGGGAAAATATTTTCCAAAAGAAGAATATTTTCCGCCAAACGAACGGATCCTAAGATTGATGGACATGAATCGTTCTACAGTTTTTAGGAGTATTCCTAGTTCTCGAAGCACAAAAAGAAAAGATCGTAATCTTTGACTGAAAATATCTTAAACTTTATATATCATCACCTAGTTTTATATAAAAAAAAAGACCGTAAACCAAATTACCATGAATTATGAACTAGGATAAATCTCATGGGAACTCTCGAAGCTCCAATGGACAGTGAACACATCGCGGGCAGAGATATGTCGGTAAGACATGGCCTTCGATTACGATTAGCCAACCATGGTACCCATTTATGCATTAAACTAATGCCATGTCTGTTATTCAAGCAATTACAAGCACTCATAGGCATAATTTACTGATGGAACCTCTTTTTAGGATAAACACTATGAGAATATGCTCTTTTGATTCTGAGACTCCTCTTAATCATATCAAGGCCGAGCTCTCATCCGCATGACACATTTGATTAGCAAAGCACGTATGAAACACCGACATCAAAATGACCGAAGTATAAAGCATGAACACTAATGACGGTGACATGATATTGTCTATTGTTTTTTTTTTTGGGGGGGAGGTGTCGTTATTGGAGCACGTATGTAATAAAAGAGGCAGAGGAGATTGTAACGCCATAGCTTTCCTAGTTAGCAACTTCTGTGGATAGGAATTCTGGGGCTTCTTATTAGCCACTCCAAAATTCTATGTGAAAGGACACATAGGGGTGACTAAAGCAAAATGTCTAAGTCTTTCGGGCTTGTTTTTTCTTTGGATGACTTATCATCTTCACATAAGTAGGGTCATTGTCATTCATGGCTGTCAAGAGTTTAATCCTTAATCCTTGATCTTTCAAGTTCCTCGATGAGAAAAATCAATTAAGGGCGATAAGATGCGATCTAAGACCTAGCCCTAAAGAGTAATCCTTTATGAATTCTTCTGTTTGATTGTCAATGACCTACCTCCAATCAGATCAAAGAAGCAATTTAACCAGTATGTGAAATCTGACTTAAGATATCACCTAAAACAAACAAGAGAAAAATTTAGATATTTTGGGCATAAATAACAGGCATATTCAATTAATCTAGCTGCTTGACTCCATGATGGGCCACTATTTGCATAGCTTCCTATGAATGAATCAACAATCCACATAAAAGACTAAGGAACTGACAAAGTGATGATTAAGATCGATCACACTATGTATATGTCTTGCCATAGATGTTTCATAATTTCAACATATTGCTTGAATCTCACTATTCTTTTGTTTTTTAAACTAATGTCAAGAGTTATAAGCAAATAGGCTATTCCTTTTCTAAAGGGAAAAACTGGTCATACATCCACAAGGTACACATTAGGTTGAATTCTCGTGCATACCGTGATTGATGGTTCATGTGCAATCATAGGTGCGTAGTTGGTCCACTAAAATGGATCCTCATACTTTTGCCACAAAAAAATCAAAATTGTAAGACCTGCCAAAAGGCTTTTGCCTATCTTTTAGATTGACCAACGGAAGTTATTCTGTAATTCTTTAGAGCATTTCTAGTCCTTGAATCACAAGGAAAAAAAACACACACACACAATCGATTGAAAATATTTTCAGATTTGAAGCCGGCACTCCTCAAGCAGTTAATCTAATGTGGGATCTTTCCCAATATCCTCTACGCCTACTTATATTCTCTTTGCGGCTAAAAGCATCGACTACCTTGTTAGCTGTCTCGGACTTGTGTTGAAGGACAAAATGAATTCTTGCAAGTTGGAAACCCATATATCACCACCTAGTTTTATATAATAATAATGACAAAATATATGTGATTTTGATGAATTACAGACAAGCATAAATCTCTCAGGAGCTATATAAGCTCCGAAGGACAGTGAACACATCGCAGCAGAAATGTGGCGCTATGAGATGGCCTTAGACTAGAATTAGTATTTACACATTGAAATTGATACCGTGTCTGTTATTCAAAGCAATTAGGGGCACTCATAGGCATAATTTGCTGATGGAACCTCTTCTGGCTGAATGCAAGAACTTGCCCGTGAAGCTGCGGGAATACAAAATTGAGCACATATTCAAAGAAGCAAAAGGTTGCACGGATGCTTTGGCCCTGCTTGCAAAGGAACAACATCTACAGTTTGGTACTTATTCCTCTGTTTTAGATGTAATTAAAGACCTTTTGCATAATGACTCTATTGGGAGGACATATACTACAGACAATGCAACTTGACTAGTTTTGTGTAATGATTGACAATTGAGACTTGTTATGAGACCAAATGAGATTTGTGTAGATAGAGCATCGTCGTCCCTTGCCCATATTGACATAGTGCATTCAGGATTTACTTAGCCATGCAGGATGTGGAGGCTTGTGCTATTTTGAAGGGTAATCTTCGCTGTGATCTTGGGATTCAGAACAGTCGACAAGAAGACAGACATAAATGATATCTAATTATAATGGGATAAGTACACCGGAAGTTTCGAAACTTATCACGGAAGTGTAATTGAGTTCTTAAACTTACAAAAAATGCAATCAAGTCCTAAAATCTGTCAAATTGGTGCAATCGAGTCATTTCGTTAACTCCGTCCAAGGCTAACAAAAAATGCTGACGTAGCCTTTTTTAAGATCATAGCGCGTAGTTTGAGCGAATATATGTCAACCGTATCTTCGAGATAGGCTGATCGAGTAATTCACTTACGGATACTCCTAAATACAAGGATCTCAACGTGTTTGCCAAATATACGTGATTCACGACACGAGTCGTTTAAGCACGTGAAATTCATGCGACTTCCTCCACTGTTTATAACGACTTGGAATGATTGGGGCCACTAAATGTGGCTGTTGAAGTTATTCCTCAGCTAACTGAAATGGAAATGATGAAGCTGTTCATTCGCCTCCGAATGCAAGGAATGCACTTCAATTCCTTCAACAAATTGGTCCTCACATGTGAACATAATGAATTCCTCCACTTTTTATAATGACTTGGAATGAATGGGGCCATGGTAAATTGCAATGCCCCCTTTTCATGTACCTTTTTGTTTCTCTTCTTTCCAATGTCGTCAGGATCCGAAGTGGATCACCATCCACCGAAAGAAAAGGTCTTTTCTGAATTCTTATAGATCATTAACTATTTCCTTAGTAATTCCTACTTCTAAATACAAGTTTGTGAGTTCAGATTCAATCTATCTCACTCGTGTCATCAATTGGTACGAATAAACACCTTTTATCACTCCTCTTTGTACTTATTTTTTTGTCATTCTTATTAAAAGAACTGGCACAAATATAATCGATTTTTTTTATTGCTCTAACCCCCGCACTTCGCAGGCATGGGACGAGGATGGAGATGGGGACTTCCATGGGCCTTGCTCACTACTCTACTTATTCCAATATAATCCTTTTAATTATGTTCAATTGTAGAAAGTTCTGTTGAAATCGTTATTTTGTTAGATTTCATGTTCACATTTATACTCGTTAAACTAAATCACTCATCAAATTATATGCTCTTTAAGCTAGCAAATTTACATTTAACTTAAGGTGGATAGTCTCTACGAAAATAACTCAAGGCGCTTTCTACTCACGAACCATGAAGATTTCACACCAATCTCCTTGGTTTCCATGGACGACAAAACTTTCTACGTCATCCTCGACCATGTATAATAATTGGCTTCTTATTAGTATCCACTTATCTCAATTACGTCTCTAAATCGTAGTATCTACAGGCTTTCAAAATAAATGGATACATAAACTAGGTCCCGGGTAAGATCCTCTATATCCGTGAGAGTCATTTGGCTAGTACTATAACAACAAAACATTATGAGATTGCTGAGGTATGTATGGACAGAGATGTTCTCTAAGAACCTAAAGAGCTAACTTTCATGAGCAAGAAAACAACATCTCCATAATAGTATACTGAAACATGCAAACAAACATAGATTGGAATCTTCAGACATGCATGTATGCATTAAGTATCTAGCTGCATATTTTCTTGTCTGCCAGAGATTTCCTCACCTTTTCCATCCTTTTGCCATTCTCTTGGAGTAGTGCAAGAACCACCTACTCTTCTCGTCAATGATCAAGTTCCCCAGCACAACACCAACCAAAAACCCAACTCCAGCGCCAGCCAGCACGATTTTCCAATCCAAGTCGAATAGAGACTCTACTTCATTATCTACTTTGAAAGATGATGGTGGTGGTGCAGCGCTTTCACCAGTTGTGCATTTATTTGGCAGAGGACTTCCACACAACCCCTGATTCATCGTAAACGAACTGCTCTCGAATGTGTCGAACTGTGTTCCATGTGGTATTCGTCCCGATAGTCGATTGTGATAGACATCGAAAAATTCAAGAAATGTGAGGCTGGCTAGTTGTTGGGGAATCTCTCCCGTGAGATTGTTTAGGGAAAGATCCAATGATTCGAGCACTGTCAGGTTTGCCAAGGAAGGAGGGATGCTACCAATGAGGAAGTTGTTTGAAAGGTTGAGCATATGAAGAGACTTCAAATCTCCAATGAGTTCAGGAATGGAACCTTCGAACTTGTTACTAGAGAGGTCAATTGCCACAAGCATATATGGAATCTTCTTATATTCCCTTTTCGTGCCCTTATTCATCAATGTCAACGCATAAGTCATCATACTTCCGTCGAGTATGAAACCAGACATATCAATCCATTGATGTATATTCATATATGCCAACTTATCTTGACCATCGATAAACTTCATGGCATGGCAACTCTGTAACAACTTGAAAGGAAGTTTACCATTGAAGCTGTTGTTGGAAAGGTCTAGGATGTGCAAATTGGTGAAGTTAAGATGGCTTAGATGACCGTCTATGGGACCATAGAACTTATTGGACTGCAAGTCAATAACTTTTAGGTAGGCCAATTCCGATAGCCAAAATGGGAATGTATCATTAATTTGGTTGTCACCAAGATTCAAATGCTCCAGCATTCCGCAATTTCCTAAAGATCTCGGAACAATCCCTCTTAGTCGGTTTTCTCTTAGGTCGATCATCTTCAATGCACAATCATCTCGGTTAACGCGAGGGCTCATGCCATCGAATTTATTTCTTGCAAGGTTCAATAAAATCAAAGGACCAATACCACCCAGACAAGGAGGAAGTGTGCCATTCAGAGAATTGTTGGACAAATCGAGCACTACAAGAGATCTCAGTTCACAAATGGATGTTGGAATTTCCCCATATAGGAAGTTGTTGGAGATGTTGTATATCATGACCGAGGGAGGTGGGACAGGGAGGGTTGTTTCTAGCAAGTTAGAACTAACGTCAAGATATTCCAACTTCGGCAAAGGAAGACTAGTCTGGTTGTTTTCTAAGCCGGTTAAAAGATTGTGAGAAAGATCTATATACCAGAGAGATTCTTTGCTATTGTTCCACATCCATCTAGGAATGGTCCCTCGGATTCTGTTGTGTGATAGGTCTAGCCGCACCAATTCGCTTAAGTAGCCTATAAACTGTGGGAACTCGGTCAAGTTGCATGAATCCAAGATTAAGGTGGCAAGCGTCGATGTAGTGGCATTGATGAATGACTTGGTGAACGATATATTGTTGAAGGACAAATCTAAATCTCCCAAGTTCTTGAGTTTGAATAGATTATTTAAATCGAGAACGCCATTGAGATTAAACGACCCCAGCCCAAGCCATTCAAGATCTTCTAGATTCCACAATGTACTCGGAATATCACCGCCCAAGTCGTTGTGAGAAAGGTGGAGAAAAGTCAACTGCTTCAGGTTCGCAAATGAAGATGGAAGTCCACCGCTTAGCCGATTATCTACCAAACAGAAAGAAAAGAAGACACAAGACAAGAGGAGCGTTAGTTACACCATGGGACTAACCGCATTTGAGAATATTAGGAGCAAATGTGACGCCACGTCATCTATGCACCAGCCCACTCAGTGGACGAAAAGTGTGGCACTGTGGGTCCCACCTCCAGAAAATTGGGAAAGTCTCTCTCCCCCGGTTCGGGTCGCATCTCTTTCCTTCTCTCTCTCTCTCTGCAACTCCATGGAACCACCGATCTCTCGAGCTCCACCGCCGCTCCCTCCCTCCCCGACCACCACCAAAACCCTCGCCGCGAAGGCCACAAGCAAAACCACCATCGCTGCCTCAAGAGCTTCGAGTCCAGCAACAGGCCTGAGCCGGAAGGCCTTCCGACTCGGCAAGTTCGGCCAAGTCCTGAACCACGGACAACTTCTTCGTCATCAACTTCTTCTCCCACAACTTCCTCAACTTCAACTCTTCCTCCTCGCAATTGATCCCCCTCGACGTTGCGATCTCGATGCTCGACTCGACGCACGTCTCGTCCTCCCGCAACCTCCTCAAATCCCTAATTTTCAGATTCACGACCTAATGAATTTCGCCCACGCGCTAATCTTCGACAGAACCCATGAGTGGCGGCCGTCAATGGAGGGGTAGGGTTTCGAGCAGGAGGGAGGAGGAGAGGATTGGCGAGGTAGGCCTCGAAGTGGAGGAGGAAGTCCCTGTCTCTGGTTTTGCTGGTGGTCGTCGCGGCAGGGGTTTTGGCGGTGGTTGGGTAGGGAGCGAGCGGCCGTGGAGCTCAATAGATCGGTGGTTCCATGGAGCTGCAGAGAGAGAAGGAAGGAGATCCGACCGAACCAGCAGAGAGGAAGAAACTATTACCTGAAATTTCCAAGTAGGTAAGTTTTGTCAAGTTGACCACCCACTCCAAAGTATCACCACTCAAGTTATTGTAAGAGAGGCTTAGCTCTGATAGCTGGGTAAGATCAGCAAAGGAAACAGGGATTTGACCTTGCAAGTTATTTCCGCGAAGGTATAGTCTAGTGAGATGAGAAAGATTACCCAATGAAGAGGGAAGCGATCCCGAAAAATGGCACTCCCAGGCGTTTAACTCATTCAAGAGACTAAGATTTCCGATCGAAGAGGGTATTTCTCCTGAGAATTTGGTATTGTAAAGGTTTATGGATTTCAATGGAGAACCCCAATGCTGTTTGGGAAGAATACCAGAAAGGTTGGAATTGCCAGAAATGTCAAGGACTTCCAAGTTTGGCAGCTGAAAAATGCTGACCGGAAAGTCTCCATTCAATCCACAATATCCAAGCTCGGAAACAGGGATTTGATCTAGCAAGTAATTTCTGCGAAGGTCTAGTGCGGTGAGATGAGAAAGATTACCCAATGAAGAGGGAAGTCCCGAAAAAGAGCAGTAGCTAGCGTCTAACTCATTCAAGAGACTAAGATTTCCGATCGAAGCGGGTATTTCTCCCGAGAAGTCGGTCGAGGAAAGGTATAACAATTTCAATGGAGAACCCCAATGCGGTTTGGGAAAAAAACCAGAAAGGTTGGGATTCAGAGAAATGTCAAGGACTTCCAAGTTTGGCATCTGAAAAATGCTGACCGGAAAGTCTCCATTCAATCGACAATTTCCAAGCCGAAGCGATGTCAAGGAAGAGAAATTCGCTAGCACATGAGGGACAGGTGATGACAAGCTTACAGAAGAAAGATCGATTTCTTTTAGCCCAGTCAAATTATGAACAAGGTCGCCCATGTTGGGCAAATGAAGTGGCAGGTCCCAAGAAGTGGACAAATCGAGAGAAACTAACCGGGATAGCTGCGAGATATCGTGAGGGATTTCACCGGAAAAATCCGAGTGGGAGAGATTAAGGTATTGTAACTTCGAAAGATTGCTGAAGCCGTACGGGATTGGGGAGAAGTTGAAGCTGTTGTAAGCGAGATTGAGCGACTCCACGTGAACGAGTCGAAAGAGAGTGGTGTTGGGACTCATGGTGCCCGAGAGACAACTGCTACTGAGATCGAGGGCAATCACTCGGCCGGTGACCTCGTCACATTCGATGCCGTCCCACGAACAACAATCTCCACTTCCATCTAGAGACCAGGAGTGGACCTTTGGATAAATGCATCGCCAATCTGTCGTGTTGATTCTGAAACTTCTCTTGAATTCCATTAAGGCAGAGCTCTCATCTGCATGACAAGATACCTCAGCAAGCCTAGTACGAAAGAGAGAGAGTAGGAACATCAAAGTAAGCAGCAGATATAAGGATAAGGCTGCCATAATTTTCTGCTTTTGTTTTTGTTCTTTTGCTTACTGAAATGAGTTTTCGAGGGAGAGTGCAACGGAGAAGCTTTTTATAGGCAGCAACAATTCGTTCTGTCAATGGATATATCTTGCCACTTGGCCATTCAAAGTGCTTGACCCCATTACTTTTCATGGATTTTATGTATGCCTTCTGTATGGGCTTGAAAACTGCACGATGTTAGACCTATATACATATGTTTTATCATCTAGAGCACGAGCGCAGCGGCTTGGCATTGTCCCCTTTTATCTATATTTCTCTGTCATAGTTTCGATATAGAATCCATTCATTTCTTTTGGTGACATATTGGAAATTGGCAACAAGCTCCCATGTAAAATTGTTCATGTCGTTTGATTTTGACTCACAGCTTCAAGGCGTAATTTCAAGTACAGAGGTTGTTCAACGTTGTTTGTTCATCCATATGAGTTGCTTGTGCGGAACTTTCATCAATAAGCCCATTTTTATAGGTGGGCCCGTGTCTCTGTAACTGTAAACTCATGTTCTCTCCCTGCTTCATTTGAAATTATCACCAAAAAAGTCATTTTGTTCTCGGATTCATCAAGTTTAAGACTCATTTTCTCATGCATGGTTTCATTTTGATTTTTGATTAGTGAAGTTTCTCTCTTAATTATATCGCGTGAACTATCATGCGTCTAACACGATGTGCGTAAAGGCTGAGTAACAAATTTAAATCCTTCTACATTTTAATCTCAATTAGAATCTAATGTAGAGTAGAGCCCATCTACCAGTCCAAAGACCATACGATATTTCAAGGAAAATGGCAGGAAAGTCGAGTCCAAAGCAAGATAAAGGCATCATCTGTCAAAAGCTGTATTTTCTTGTGCCGGGCTTCGCCATTCATTGCCAGTATTATTGGCATGGTCCACTTACCAGTGAAATGACACCTCCCGTCTTTTTCATGTAGAAAAGAAGAAAAAAAAAAATCAAAACTTGACAAAACTCAACAAAGAATTTTCTTCCTTGTGATAAACCAGTTAGAACTATCCTAAGCACTGGGATTGGGATAATTTTACGATTTCCACTATTTTAAGGCTATTAATAGATGGGTTTAAGTGTTAATTTACGTTGTAAGTCCTAAATTTAGCAGGATAAGTTAAAAAAACATCTCATGTTTTTATCAAATCAATTTGTGTTACCAGAAAAATCAAGTAAGATAGTTTGGTGTTTTATGGCAAACAGAAGGGATAGTTCAATGTTTAACATATAGTTTGAGATTACTAGTAAAACGTACCGTGCGTGCACGCATTAAGACCACGCATCGGTCAAAAGCGGCAATAGAAAGGGCAAATGGAAGGTGTAAATTTTCTTGTGCCGTGCCTCACCATCTATTGCTAGGATAATCGGCATGGTCCACTTACCAGTGAAATCACATCTCACATCTTTTTCACGTAGGAAAAAAAGACCAAACTTCACAAACCTCATCAAAGAATTTTCGTCCTTAGCGACAAACTAGTGGAACTAAGCTAATTACTGGGATTGGGATAATTTTTGGATTTCCATCATTTTGTGGCTATGAGCAGATGAGTTTAAGTGTTTTGATGATCTTATAGCTTAATTTACTTTAGAAGTCCTAAACTTCGCAGGATAAGTTAAAAAGTACCTCACGTTGTGTGTTTACTGTCTGATTACAGTTCCTTGATGCATTTTGACTGAAGATTCTTTATTTGAATTTCAATATTCATATAGTATAAAAGAACTACGTGAAAAATAAGGAAACTCAGAATCATCAAATAAAGACATTGAAATAAGTGAGTGCTGCACCTTCATTAGATAAAAGGAATGCATTAGAAGAAAATAAAGTCGTACGTGCGCATATGCACGAATGAGAGAGAAATGAGTTGAGTTATAGGAAGTATTAGTTGTATATACAGTGTCAAAACTCATACAAATTAGACTTCCACCATAATGAGAACGGTGAACTATTTAGGTATGTGAAATACTACATCTACTCAGAGCCTACTCTGCAATTAGAAATCAAATTGCAGCTTCACTCTCTCCACACGTTCTGCAATAAAAGGACTCTAAACTAGTTCCGTTGTTTATTCCCTCTCGTTTAGTTAATTTGAGCTATGACACTTATAGATATACTCAATACACATATTATATCACAAATTCAGGATGATTAAGAGATCAACAGCAGCATTTTGAATTGCCTCTTGCTTTAACTTCCCCTTCACTACCTACATTCCGCTATTCCGCTCCCATTTTACGTTGCTGAGCAAACGTTTCTCACTTTTCTGCTAAGTACAATATTCAACAAGATCCTGCAATAACATCAGTAGCAGAATCCAAAATGCCAAGGTGACCAAAATGGCTTTTCCAAACTACCTATCAACATAAATCACAGTCAGGCCAGCCTTTTCCCATATTGTACAGCAAGCCTACCAGTAACAGATACTTGTGCCACAAAACAAGCAACCACGCTTCAAGGAAGATGAAACTCATCGATATTAAGGAGGTTGAAAAACCAGTAACCACCCCAGCAACTGTTTCCTATATCCAACATTTAGCTCTAATCTTGCAGGTTAACCAGGTTTTGAAAACATCCGAGAACCTGACGATGCACAGGCCATATTAAGTCATTAAGAACCGATGATGTAAGAGACGCAAAAAATAAATATGTACACGTTCAATGTACTTGAAAGGTAACTTGAAAAGGAGATGGAATGCGGCATTTGGAAGGTGAGATCATGGCAGATATGATTTTGTATGGCATCTAAAAATCAGATGTTGTATACTAGAGGTTCAATTACAACTGATCCTTGAGACTGAGTTCCGTACAATTGGCCATTTATTTACATTTTGAGATGAACATGAAACTTAGATGAAAAACTATATATTGGTCATTTCAAACAGAGCACGATAGTATACTTCGGAATACTTAAGAGAGCAAAATGAACGAACTCGTGCTTACATGCTAATTGCCTCAGTACTCCCTTTTCCCACGACAATAAATCCCATCTTAGATAGGTAAATCGTAGACGCATGAAATTCTCATGTATGCGCTAAGAAAAAAAATGAGTGAAAACCCAAGTGGGTGATCCAAAGATAATATCAATTCTTTAACTGATGAGTTAAAACTCATTGGGTCATGTCTTGGTATTTGTTTATACTGTAAGTAAATTAGGTGATTAAATTTCTTGAAATGCATCAATTCCTTCCCCATAAGAAACCATTGAAGGTTAAGAAAATGAAAGGTGTACCTCAATCATTTATATAAGCAACAAATGGAATAATCACAAAAGTATTATGGAAAATTTGAGGCGCTTGTTATGATGATGAAAATGCATGCCGCGTAAGTGAAGTCGATGCTGCTTTTCATCAATGAGTCCACGTTCAGCATAAGATGCCAACCACTCCTTGACTCGAATGAAGTCTTCCAAGTCTTCCACTAAGTTGAGAATCTGAGTGGCCACTTCAACTTTGACAACATGGAAAATGCATAATGATCAGTTTGACGATGATCAGAAGCGTGCCTCTCAATGGTCAACGCACTTAACCAGGTCTTTGAGCTATGGTTTTTTTTTTTTGGTCAGAATTGAGCTATGGTTGAAAAATCTGTATTATATAGAAAAGAAAGTGGGAATGTTGGGCAAGTAATCTTCTCCCAACAACAGGAAATTCAAGACTTTTGCTCAACTTTTAGATTGAAGAACATGAGTCATTATACAGTTCTTAAGAGTATTCCTAATCCTCGAATAAAAAAAAAAAAGACCATAATCATCCACTGAAAATATTTTCAGATTTTATATATAATTGCCTCGTTTTATATAAAATTTAATATCAAAGTATACATGATTATGATGAATTACTAATAGATCCTCTTTTGGCTGAATGTAAAGGCTTGCTCGCGGAGCTGCAGGAATACAAAATTGAGCACATACTCAAAGAAGCAGATGGTTGCACGGATGCTTTAGCCCTGCTTGCAAAGGAACAATATCTGCAATTTGTAATTTGTTCCTCGGTTCCAGATGTTATTAAAGAACTATTGTACAATGACGCCAGCAGGACATATATTTCAGACAATGTAACTTGACAGGCTTTTTTAATGTAATCATGTTATTTATCGGAAAAAAAGGGAGAAAAAAAGCTTTATCGCCAGTGTGTAGGTATTCATCATTCTTTTTCCTTTTTAAACATCAGTTGATCATTATAACGTCAAATGTTAATTTTGATGTGAGAATATTCTAGTCATGTTCATCACTCTTATTATACAATGGCACTAGAATTGAGTTTCAATCCAGACAAGTAAAATGAATGCTTCATCAAAATATATATTTATACAAGCCAATCACGACAGTATATTTCAGAATAGTTAAGAGCAAAATGAACAAACTCGTGCTTACTTGCTAATTGCCTTAGTACTCCATTTTTTCAAGATGATAGTTCCCATTTTGGATAGGTAAATCGTGGACGCATAAAATTTTCATGTACTAACTAAGTTAAAAAAAGGAGTCAAAACCCAGGTGGGTGACCCGAAGATGATAGTCTTTAACTGCTGAGTTAAAATCATTGAGTCATGTCTTCGTACTTGGTATTTGTTTATACTATACGTAAATTAGGTAATTAGATTCCTTGAATTGCATCAATTCCTTCTTTGTAAGAAACCATTGAAGGTTAAGAGAATAAAAGGTGTATCTCAATCATTAATGATATTAGGGAAAAAACCACCAAAAACCCCAAACATTGTCATCTGTGACACATTTACCCCGAACTTTTTTTTGTGACACCAAAAACCCCGAACTTTGCTTTTTGTGCCACATTTACCCCAATGTATTTAGTCCATGGGCATTTTCGTCTTTTTTGCTTTTTTTTTTTTTTTCTTTTTTTTTCCTTTCCGGCGAGGGGG